CAAAAGAATGTATATCCTAATTTTTAAAATTAATATAAGTTTTTTAGCCTGAGGTCTTTAATTATTATCCTTAATGGTGCCACTAAGTTACGTATATTTGAAATAGGTTTTACTAACCCTTGACATATATATGCATGCACATATATACATTACAATCCAATCCAAGACTTAGGAGAACCTTAAAGCTTGATGAGTGTGTGCACCCTAAGCATGCAAATCAAGTTAAAACTTAATTAATTGAAATATTAATTAATGAACAATTAAAAAGTTTATTATTCATTGATTAATCATCACTCTTCATAAATTATATTCAATCATGCTCAATCTAGGTTTAAAGTTTCAAGGGATCTCTCAAAATTCAAAGATTTAATAAATATATATTTTTAAAAATAAAATTTAAAACATATATGTATAAACCTATATATAAGAATATAAGAAATTAAAATATTTAAAATTATGAAAATTTGGATATATTAATTGTATTTTTTATATGAATTTTATTTGAATTTTCAAAGTTTAAGGCAATTAAATGTATTTAAAATAATTCAAAATTAATTAAAATTAAAAATAATTCTTAAATTGAGTTTAAATAAATCTTAATGGTTTCTAAAAATTTAAATTGTTAATTTATTTAAATTCAACTTTAAATAAATAAAAATTAAATATTTAGCTTGATAGGAGTTTGATTGGATGTATGGATTGATTTGACCAAGATATGTAAGTTTAACCAAGTTCATGGCATTAACTTGGTCATACCCACACTGGTATGACTCATGCAAGATTTGAATGGGTTTAAGGTATACTATTAAATGGTCTTTGAAGGTTTGAAACTTTTCTTGAATTGAATTTGAGTGTGTATAGTGAATGGAACTTATATTGACTGGATTTGACCAAAAATAAATCTGATTGACCAAGTCAACTAATGACTAGCTTAGGGTGTCCAGTCATGTCCACATCATTAGGGGGAGTGATAAAGGGGTTTTGAGTGGATTTGACATTGATTTAAGGCTTGACTTTATATAAAAAAGCTTAAGAGTTGATCTTGTCAACCTAGGTTGACTTTATAAACTAGGTTGACCCAGAGCCAAGGTTTAGACTTGACATATTTGAAATGATGTTTGGGGACCAATGGAGGTGATCCCAAGGTTTGGAGAGCTCAATTAGATCAAATCACATGTATGGATCCTTAAGGAGCCTTTAGGTCAACCTAGGTTGACTTGGTCAACCAGGTTGACTTAGGGTATGGGATTGGGTATAATAGGTTTGGTTTGACATTTGAAACTTGCTGGAAGTGGTTGCATTCAATTTGGATATCATTTGGTCAAGAGTCACTATTCACACCCCTAAAGAGTATTTGGTCATTTTGGGCCCTAGTCAAGTGGGGGTCAAAGTGGGTCAATCAAAATATAGTTTATCACTCAACATGACATAATCAAGGGTCCATAAGTGATCAAAGAGCTTGGAGAAGGCTCCAAGGTCAAATTCCATTGAGAGAAAGGTCTAGTGGCATAGGCCATAAATATTTAAAAGTTTTACAGCCTTTAGATTTCAATCCAATTTCAGGGATTAAAGGTCTCATATTGAGATCAAATTTGGAGAGTTGCCTCTAGAGACATGTCCTATAAATATGTAATTGATAGAATCTGAATCAGAGGTCATTTGATTGAGTTTTGAAGTGTTCGAAAAATCCATGGAAAAGGCATTCAAGACCATAGCCTTTGGATTTGGGTTTTGGATTTAGATGCTTGAATTTGAATTACCCATATCATTGATAATCATCTGAATGATTGTTAGTAATTGTAATAGGATTGAAGTTTGATCAAAGGGAAAATCAAGGTTTGAACTAGAACTGAGATCAAGATAGGTTTAAAGTCTGGGTAGGTTAGAAGTCTAGATTTAATTCAAGTTTGAATTGAATTGAGATATGGATTGGCTTGGATTTAGATTGATCTAAGATCTAGATTGATCCTAGAGTTTGGGTAGATTTAAGGTCTGGATTGATATATGGTCTAGGTAGATCCTAGGGTTCAGAGTCTAGGATGATTCTAGAGTCTAAGAAGTCCTAGGGTCTGGGGTCTAGAAGAATCCTAGGAACTAGGTAGATCCTATGATCTGTATTGGTTTGGAAGAATTCTAAGGTCTGGATTAATCTAAGATCTAGATAGATCCTAGGGTCTGGATTAATCTAATCAATGCATGATAGATCCTAAGGTCTGGATTGATTTGGAAGAATATTTACTAATCAGTGCATGTCATCTTAAGTGCTTAATCCCCATTAATCTTGATAGCCATGAAAATAAGACATGGTGCAATATATTTCCTTTTGAAGCACAGTCATTTTAGGAAAATCATTTATTAATAATATGAATGTTAATATAAGAATAGAACCCTAAAAATACAACCACTTAATTTTTTTTTAGGAAAATATATCCGAATTTAAATCGCATATTTCTCATCCAAAATAAAAAATTATCTCCAACTAAAAAGCAAACTAATAATTGATTCATATACTATTTTCACTAAAATTCGAAGTTCTAACAACAACAAAAATAATCTTCTAGAGGTGATGACAAACCATTGTTTGTTAAGTGTCCCTTGTGTATTTAATTATAAGATCATTAATTTGCCTATTACATCTCATAATGAACCACTCATTTAAGCTTTGTTTGGGATAGCTTCCTTACTGCTTTGTAAAGCAACCTCTTAATACAAAAATTGAGTTCAAGAAAACTTTGTACTAAAAAATTAATTTAAAAAATAAGAAGAAAAATATCCCAAACAAAACCTTAGACAACATATTTTAATTACATGTAACACATTTTAAACATCTCTTATAATATCTCTAAACCACCACCCATCTCAAATATTCATTCTTACAGATTTTGCACTCTATTTGACGATCATGATTTTAATAATATATTTTTTGTACCTTTAAAAATCTCTTATGATACTATTTTCAATGAATTACTTGATGAGCTTGGCTTTCCTATAAATGATGTTATATTTTTTTACTTGAACACATTTCTTATGACCTTTGCTTAGTAATAATAATAATAATAATAATAATAACCGTAACCAAAATTAGGTACAAGTGGCATACTATGTAGATAGATATAAATGATCAAATAATAGCATAAAATAAGAATTAGTCCTTTTTTTAATCTGTTTAATTTGAGATACTCTGATAATTACATGAACTAGTACACTTATATATATGGATGATTCATTTTTTGAGATCATCTAATCTAATGCATCACATTGATTGCTTATACTAATTATTTCATTACAAGCACAAAATTTTCAGTCTTCACTTTTATATGTTAATACCATTTGACATAAATAATTAGACATATACAGTGACGGAGCCAAAATTGTGAGAGAAAAAATCATTAATTTAAAAAATAAAACACAATATTTTTCATCCAAACTTTATATCAACATTAACGATTTCAAAGTTTTTTAAAGACATCATTTTAAAAGAATAGATTATATAGTAAAATAAACTTATAGTGAAGAAGCACATATTGCCTGCAATTTATGAGTCTTTATAGTTTAAAATCACTGTACAATCATTTTATTATTAATGCTATTAAAATTATTTTTTTTTAATATAAATAATCAGACAATTATTCATCCAAGAGTCTCTCATACGATTGCATAAATAATTCTTTACAATTAAAGAATATCACCAATTTATCATTACAAGATTTCATATAGATGATAAAATTATCAAGTTAATTGTCTAATATAATGAGATATATATTTGAAAAGTCTGATGAATAAAATTTAACTAGGCATATCAATCGTTCTTTATCAAAAGCTAAAAATAAATTACACAAATTCAAGCATTCCACACACATAAATAGCTCTGTATTTATTTCTATAGTAAAATAAACTTACAGTGAAGAAGCACATATTGCCTGCAATTTCTCTTTACAATGTTAGTAAAATAAACTTCATATTTTGAAAAGCATTACAATATTTCATATAGATGATAAAATTATCAAGTTAATTGTCTAATATAATGAGATATATATTTGAAAAGTCTGATGAATAAAATTTGACAAGGCATATCAATCTTTCTTTATCAAAAGCTAAAAATAAATTACACAAATTCAAGCATTCCACACACATAAATAGCTCTGTATTTATTTCATCATATCATTGATGAGCACTTGAAATTGCATATCTATGATAGCATAAAATAGTTCAATTAAATAATGATGTATACTTATGGTTGCTTGAACATTTTGCTTAATCTTCCTCACATTACAAAATTATCATTCATTTTTGAAACAACTATATTATTTTCCTCACAAAATATACATACCTTCTCTATTTGTTGTCCTAACATTCCCCATCATTCCAAGGCCTTCAAACCCTTCTTCCTCATAAAATTGAAAAATAAAATAAAATCATCCATGAAAAAAAAAAAATCTGATCTATAAATTTTCAAAAACAAAAACTTCCTCCACACTTAACCAATTGATCTAAAAAACATACCTCTAATTTTCTAAAATCCAAAGGTCCTATCCCCTTCTAAGTAAAGAAACCATAGTAAGGAAGAAATAGTCTAAATCAGCCAGCTAATCCCAGCTCTTTGTCAATCTCCTCTACCCTTCCCATCATCCTTCACCGTTCTATCATTTTTTTTCACCAACGTTACAAACATTTTCACCACATCCCCATCAATTAAACAAGATCATTGGTCTAGCAGGACAAAAGACGATGATGAAACTCTGAAGTACTAAGAGCTGAAGACCAGGTTGCAGGCTCAATGAACTGTGTGCACTACGAGCTAAAGACCAGGTTACCAAGACTTTTATCGATCCTATAAATGATTAAACAATTTTGCTCATATTGTTTTCTCAACTGTATTGTTCTTTAATCTGCGTTGAAAAGTACAAACTGAGAAATTCAATTTCACTATAATCGATCCTATAAATGATTAAGCAGACTTTATTCAATCGAAAATAAATAGAGAGTAGAACTGCCTGCAATTAGATCACAAACTCAACTCTATTCCCTCGAGTCCTGTAGAAGTAATAATAATTGGTGATTACCAATAATATACAGCAGCATTACGTTTTCCAGTGATTTTGTTCCGAAAAATAAGAATAGTTCAGCTTGTCTGAAATCATAGCAAGGAAAACAAAATTTATCTCAAACAATATTGACAGTGAAAGAGGCGTAAGGATAAGACTCCGCTTCAACTCCTATGCCAGCCACAACAGCAGCGTCATCATCAGATTTCCAGTAAATGCTGCAAGATAATCAAGGAGTGATATTAGCATCTGGCACAGAAAGCAACGCATACATGCAACTTCTCACTTACAGAGCAAACAGGAGTCCCATGCAACCGATCATCATCATCATTGGACTTCTCCAAAATATATGAGGATGGCTTTATGAATTCGTTTCATTTGTTTTTCATAAGTTGTTGATCAATGAATTGAATATCTTCTTACAAAGCATTTTGAACTTCTATCCTTATTATCATAAGTCTATCATTTGTCCTCCCTACTATAAAAACTTGTCTTTATATTAGAAAAAAAAAACAGGCTAATGTAGGTTTCGAATGAACCAACCATTATTAGTTTTGCCTTTAAATTGTAAGAGGAAAAGAGGGGGCCTAAGTGAGCTAGAGGTAAAAAGATAGAGAGAGAGATCAGGCAAGCCACCAAATAAGAGATCGGGCAAGCCACAAAATAAGAGAAAGAGCTAGATCAAGGGACTGATAAGCCACCAATCGATTGAGATGAGGAAAAAGGAAGAAGGGAAGCTGAAGTTAAGTGAGGGATACCAAAAGCAAGCACTTGAGAGTGGAAGGGAGATCAAGAGTTGGCAAATGAGACAAAGAACAAGCGAGCGGTTGATATCAAGTGGTTGACGGCAAGCAAGGTAAGCCTTTACTATTAAATGAAAAATTGTTTAAGAAAATTTTTTATTTAAAATAATAATAACTCAAGTAAACATTAGACTTTAATTTTCAGATAAATACTAAAATTTTAAAAGTTATGAGAGACAAAGAATGCACTTAAGTTGTGGCTTTGTAGCTTTGTGGCTGGCAGGTAGAAGAGATCTAAGGAGTTCAGCCACAAGAAGATTCGATCGAGTGTATATCGGGCTTGGATGTGTGGAATCAGCACAAGGAAAGATCATCGTCTGCGTGCTAGAGGTTGGATTCGGCGCAGTGGCCGAGATGGAAGCTGGGTTTGTGGATTTCAGTGGATTGAAGAGACTCTAACGTGAGGTAGGGAGAGGAGGTAGACTTGAGCATGGTTTAAAATTGCACAATAAGAGGTGCACCTTAGTGCAATTTCACTTGTTTGAGCCTCAAAGATTACATCTTCCTCCTAGGTATGCTGCGCGCCTCGCCTCATTTCTACGAGGCAGAATGCCTCTTAAAATTTAAAAAAAAAAAAACACTAAACCTAATATTTAGACATTTGATGCTTAGACTTTACCCTTATTTTGAAGTCGTGCCCTACTTCATTTCGAAGGCGTTCGCTGCATCAAAATCAACTTTTTTGCCTCTTGCTTCGACTTCAACGTCGACTTGGCTTCCTTGACTTCAACTTCACTTCCTCGAAGTCATCTTCTTCTTCATGTTCTTCGACCACGTGCCTTCGACCGTGAGTTGGACTGCGACTTCGACTGCTTTGACATCAACCGCGCCTTCTTCTTTTTCCTGCGACTCGTTTTTCTTCTGCGCATCCCTCCTTGACTCTTTAGCTCCCCGCCTTCCTCTTCTTCTTCGCGGTTGGAGTTCGACATAAGCACAGAGGGAGTTCGGCTGGAGTTCAACACCGTAAGAAAAATTTAATTTGGGTTTTGGCTATGTTCACTCTGGATTCCAAATGTGGTCAACATATATATATCTAGAGGTTTAGAATATCTTTTTTGTATACATTCTATGTTGCATTTTTATTCTCTTAGTGGTATTCCCATATCCCATTTAAGCTTTGTAGATGATTTCATAATATTTTTTCTAATGGTTCTTTGATTAGTGTTAAAATACTTATAAATTTTTTGAATACAAAGTCTCTTGTACACCATCATAGCCATTAGACCTTTAGTACAAGTTTTAAGGATTGTGGATGCAGAGAAGAAGCCAATTATGGGTTTCATCTATAATGCTATAAATAAAGCTAAAGAAATGATTGTCTGCAACTTAAGGGGTGAAGAGGAAAGCTATAGGAAAATTTGAAATATTATTGATAATATATGGGAGCTACAGCTTCACTGACACTTGCATGCAGTAAACTATTACTTAAACCCTCAATATCAATATGCAGAGAATAGGTCTACAAATTCAAAAATAAAGTTGGGATTATATCATTGCATAGATCAACTGATAGGTGATGCCACTGAAAGACCAAATGCTGACATGCAATTAGTATCTTTTAAGTATAAAGAAAAAAAAATTTATTACAACAAGAAAATGACACTATTTCAAAACGATCTTTAGGTAATTTCATTTGTTGTTTTAATCATTTGATTAAAATTTATTCTTTGAGCATTGACTATACTCATTTACGTAAATCTTAGTTGAGTGGTGAATTCAATTTGGTGATAGCACTCAAGAATTGCAACATTGTTGTGAAAGTTTTGTGATTAACATGTTCTTCATATGGCTGTGAACAGAATTGGAGTACCTACAACCAATTGCATACAAAGAGGAGAAATCGTTTGTCAACATTGAGGATGAATTCACTAGTGTACATTATATACAATAGGAGACTCAAAGACAGAAACTTGAAAAAAAAAATGTTAAAGGATGACGAAGATCATTTGCTTTGTAAGGATATGACATCAGATGATGAATAGTTTGTAGATGATGAAGTAGAAGTGATGTTGTCTAAATTACGAGATGAAGACTTAAATGTTAATTTCTTTGAACTATATTTTATGTTGTCTAATTACTGTGATGTTTGGATTTTACTTTAATTTCATACAACTTATTACTTGACACCTCATCTTGTATTTTTTATATTTTACATTATTAGATTACTCATTAGTATATAAAAAATTTATCATTTTATCTTTACGCAATTTTTTTATTTTGAGGATTACGCCTAGCCTCACGAAAGAAAAACGCCTCAAAACCCGATTACGCAATTTTAAACCTTGGACCAGAGGATGTAGAAGGCTGGATGGGAGGAATATGATGGAGGGAGGTAGAGACTTGCAGCTGGATTCAATTAGAGGGGATCGAATGGAGTTTGGCTGGTGTTCATGTATGCAAAAGAAGTGAATGAAGCCTTGCTCTTCTTCATTTTATCAACACGAATAGGGGGATGAAGCTCAAGGCGCGGAATGGGCTATTGTAGCGCGTTCAGAAACGAGGTTGAACTACAGGAGATGGCCACTGTAGTGACGGCAGCAAAAATACTCATTAGATGTATTCGTGAACGAACTTATTTGATAGTTCAAAAACCCTTGTTAGATATGTTTATGAATAGACTCGTTTGACAACTTAAAAACACTCGCTAGATATGTTTGTAAATGAGCACATTTGGTAGTACGAAAATGGTCACTAGAAATATTTACAAACAAGCTTGATGTAATTACTTGTTAGTAGGCTCGATGGGACTCGTTTGTTAAGCTAATGGAAATCTTGAAGAAGAGCTCATACCTCGATAAGACTCATTTGTTTAAAGCTCGATGAGCACAAAATAAAACAAACATGAATCAACTACAAATCAGACATGAACATCCATTAAATTAAATGAGCCAAGTTTGACACGAATAAAAAAGTTGGAATCGAGTTTGAACAAGTTGATAATAAGTGAACTCAAATATAAACAAGCATCTGCTGATGGGGACATCAGTTGGAAAGTCTACCGTCAACGTGGCCGTAAATCAACGGACATGATTTACCCGATGTACTTTTGATTTTATTATTGTCTACTTATTGATGTAATCTTTTTATTTCAGCATTTTCCGTTTTACCCTTACTTGAGGGATTGAGTCTTGTAGCCCATTGAGGGTATTTGAGTCTTTTTGCTTTAAGTCATTGTATGAGGCTATTTATAGCCTTCATCTTATTATTTTGAAGTAATGAATGATTATTATGAGAAATTTCTTGCCCTTATGTGTTGAGAGTGTTTGAGAGTTCTTGGAGAGAACTTTGGAGAAATCCCTAGGAGAGGGAGATCGGATCACCCACCAACCTTGGAGACGAACGGGTTCGTGGTCTTTCCTTATCTTTGTCTTTCCTCCTTCCACCACCATCACCGGACATCTTTACAACCAAACCCTTCTCCATCTCCAAGCCATCGTCTCCTCCCAATCGAACTTCCCCCCACCTTCTCCACCATAAGCCGCCGGTCACCTCACCCGACCCCTCCTCCTCCCTCAACCTCACGGCCCAAGCACACACCTGGTCTTCCCATATCGCCGGCCCTAACCCCCCTAGCCGTCGGCCCCCCACTTCCCCTTTCCTATTAAAATCCTTACCTAATTTGGGTGATTTACTTTTGGACAGAGTTTCAAAATTCAAATCCAACCAATTTGAATTTGAAATCTTTCCTAATTTGTCATTCTATTTTTTGGAAAGTTTTAAATGAATTCTATTTGAATTTCAAATTCAAATTGGATTTAAATACTTCTTTCCTAAATCCCAAATTAAGTAAACCAATTGATTACACTAGACCCATATCTCCCCTATGGATGCCGCCGGCCTCATCCCATCCTTCTTGGCTATAATTAAACTTATTTCCTAATCCGCCACTTTTGCTTTTGGGAAATAATTTCAAATCCCCATCATTACTCCTAGCCGAAATTCCCTATGCCAATTTACTGTTTTATTTCCTAAATCTGGAATTTGAAATAGGAAGTAAAACTTTCCCCCTAACTCGCACCCCCCCCCCCCCTCTTATGGTTGCCTCCCTCTCTCTCACATTTATGCCATGCTTGAACCGGTGCTAGAGTTCTCCTTCCAATTTCCTTTACTCCTAAGCATAGAAATCTGAAAGTCTTCTCAGATTTTGGTCCCAAAATCTGAAATTCTTTTCAGGATTTTGGAAGAAGACTTGGGACTTAAACTCTCTCCACTTATAAGAGAAAATTCTTTCCTTTTGCTACCATCCGAGAGGTGTATCAAGACGATTCTCCGCAAAGATTTTGGTCCCAAAATCTGAAATTCTTTTCAGGATTTTGGAAGAAGACTTGGGACTTAACCTCTCTCCAGTTATAAGAGAAAATTCTTTCTTTTTGCTACCATCCGAGAGGTGTATCAAAACGATTCTACGCAAAGGTGTATCAAGACGATTCTCCGCAAAGTGATGTTCTTCATTGATTCGTGTATTTTCATATTCTACTACTTCGTAGAGAGATTTTGTTCAAACAAGAGATTTTGTTTCACTGTCGCCATCCATTAGTAACGTAGGATTGTTACTTCTTTTGCTTTTAGACCTCTTGTTAGACCAAGGTTATGTTGAAAGCTACCTTGTATGCATTGCTTTAATTTTCTTAAATGTTTTTACTTTGCTTAGTCTCTCGCGTAGCTTAGCCTAAACGGACATGACCGCTTAATAGTTTTATTTCGTGGTTTTAGTGGTTAATAACGAGAAATCCAAAGTTGTTCTTTAAATATTTCGTGCAAATTTCCTGTCTCGTATTTAGTCCTGCATCATCTGCTCAATATGGCTCGGCATGTTTGCAACCCTATCAAGAACTATTCAATTTTGAAATTATGCAAATGATTGAATTGGTAAATAACTATAAAAAAAATAAAAAATCAAACATCATGTAAGATTCGATCAAGAACTAAAAAGAGATCTAAAAAATCATTTTTGAGATTATACCAATAATGGTATGTAATAATCATATGCTTAAGGCACCTTTAGTTATTGGATAAAAAGCATACTTTTTTTTACTGCACATATATCACTAACCACATGAAGGTGGCATCACGGAAAATATTGCAAGTGCAACTAATTTAAAAACTAAATTTGCCAGTAAACCTCTGCTGATGACGAAACAATAATACTAATGGCCAGCTGTTGAGAAATAACAGGATTAAGAGTTACCAGTTGAGATTCCCACAGAGCTGCTCCAACAAGCTCCGTACTTTCTTTTCACTTTTCGCTGGCGGTGCAAGAGCTGCAGCCTGATATTAATCCAAAAGAAACCACATTTGTCACTCTTATAACAAGATTCAAAGGCCAAAAAGCACTCAAGATGACATTTCAATACCAAGAATGATGGCGGCAAACCATATCTAAGAATGCTCTCAGAAAACACACGCACGGCACAGAAGTGCATCCAGGAACTGAAAACCTGCAACAGAAATGTTAAGAAAAAAAAAACATCATAAATCATTCAAGAAAGCATTATTTAGAGGGATTAATAAGTGAACAAATGAAATATTAAAAAATAATTTCATGGAAATTTAATAATGTGGCCACTTCTGTGTTGACGTATCAAAACAAATGATTTAAAATTTTACAGCTTACATAGTTAGAAACTTGCACTTAATATGATTAAGAGACAGAGACATAGAGACGCTGAATAAATGGCAATAGATTCAAGATAAATTAACAAGTTCGTCATCTTTAATGTCTTCACACTTCAAGACATCAAATTATATGTTTAAGGACTACACCTCTTTGAAACCTCTGTTTGTTAACTACTATGTTACGGATCAATTGTTAAACATCTAACCGAATGCATCAACTGCATTTTTTAAGATAGTAATACATACTAATTAGAAAAGAAAAATGACCTTAAATTTATATTTATCTCACGCTGGCAGCTATCTCACAGCCATCTTCAAAAATATTATAAACTAGAAGATTGATTGAACCTCACGCCAGCCTTTATAGTTTTACTAAGTGGATGTTTCGTTTAAAATCGTGCTGCTTGATTTTCTAAAAAAGATGCATTTTAAACTGCAATATGCTCTTCTAAATGATGAGTTGCTTGAGTTAAAACCCTCCATTCTCAGCCTTCCTCACCCATCTTTGCCTACTCTGTAATTTGATGAAACAAGAAAAAACTACATTAAGTAAGAGGTGACCAGCACTCCAACTCCCTCAGTTGATCTCTACTCATCAGTTAAAAGAACCACCTCACTATCAATGACTATACATATACAAACCTATGCAGTACAAAAGAGAAAAAAACAAGCATGGACAACCAAATATATCAATACACCCATAAATATTTGGGTACATATATGCAAAGTATATTTCCCAAGATACATCCATATCCCTCCTAGATATGGTATGATTATCTACAAGTTAAAAAGAACCGCAGAGTAGAACATATAGATTCTTATCACATACGTAATAGTATATTAGTTCCCAATATCATACATAAAAAATAGTAAAAACAGATGACCAATTGTATGTATAATAGTACATATATAATAAGACAAGAATATATAATTATCTACACTTGTGCAAAATAGAAAAATAATAATAAAGAAAATTGAAAAAAACTTTGCTTGGTAATGCGCTGCCTGTGTTGCTTTTGTAAAAGCTACCATTCTAGTTATGTCTAGGACATGCTATTCAATACAAATATTTTGAGGGTATGTAAACCCTTCGCATCACGAAAATGGAAAACTGGCTTGCGGAGTAGTTCAATCATCTTTGTGAGAGCAATGACTCACACAACACAGCATGGCACAACAAAGGGTTGCCAAATGAAGCGTTATGTATTCATGTACTACATATACAATTCCATAAATAGCTTGGTGTAACATAAAAGAAATTGAGTAAGAGAGTTTTATATGAATCCTGGGCAACCATTTTCATTTGTTCGAAATCAATATGCATTATTTTATTTTTTTTTAAATCTGAGATGACTTGATAGTTTGGTATGGTTTGAAACTATTTCTTTTTAGAACTTAAAAATGTAATTTGGCATATAATAAAATGGCTTACCAACATGGCATCTGAAAAACACTTTATTATCAGCCACATTTCCCCAAATGAATAGATACAGAGACGAGAACAGTTTAATAGTATCCCTGCCTCTTTTGTACATGATAGGAATGCTATAACCATAAAAGTAACCGTTCATTTTTCTAGTGCGTGTACCTATTCTCCTAAAACTTTTATGTTTTGTGAATCAATTCAACCACTTCAGATTAGTCGAAACATAGAAACACTCCGTAGTAAACAATACCTCCCCATAGCTTGCATAACACCATTGCAAAAGAGAACTTCTCAAGTTATCTTGATCCTGCATAAGTTTTTCTAGCTCTTGTTTGCGATTCTCTTGAGCTTCTGTACTATATTCAAACTCTCGAACCTGAAAACACGACGGCCATAAAAGAACACGTCAATAATAAGAGAAACATGTCTAAAATCCTCCGTAGTGATAAGATATAAATATTTAAAAATATTTTGCAGCTAAAAGCCACCGAGTCCGAGAACATAAACTGAATAACTAGATTGGATCTATAATGAAAATTTGATTTTTTCATAAAAAAGAGATACTTGCCTGAAAACCTCTTTCACGTGCGCTAGTTTTAAAATTGTCAGCAACTCTGCCAAAGAGTGTTACGGTGTAGAGAGCATACTCGTTGTCCTCGTACAACTTCTTAGATGATCTAGGTACCTTCATAAGATTTGATAGTTAACATTACTAACACAAGACAAAACAAAAAAAAAAAACTGATATAAAAAATATATCATCAAAGGAGATGAGATTAAATATGCAAGTAATGATTTAAGAACTTAATTCAACGATGTAGGTCAAAAGGTCTCCCTTGAAATTATTGATAACAATATTTAAAAGGCAGTTTTGGGGATTGCATCAAAGCAAGATGAAATAAAAATGCCCCTGGGCAGTCAGTTGGGGCATTCCTCCTATAGGGCATATACCCCACAAAACAAGGCATCATCAAAGGCGCCCAAGCTCGCCAATAGCCCCATCATATAAATTGAATTATTAAACTCCTAAATTTTAGCCTATCATAAATAACTTCAATATCTATGAAAATAAAAATATTAATGAATGATTGTCCTTCAAATCTTATAAAAGTCTTGTCAAATCAATTCCTCTTCTACAATCCCATATAAGCATTGAAGCTCTAAGCTCAAAACATCTTCGCCTCCCTCACATCACGTCTATCTATGGTTCTCCCATGATTTTGCAAAGACTCCTTCAGCGCTCAATGTTACCCTCATCAACTCACTACTCATCTTAGTCAAAGCCCTGTGCCAATTGACCATCCATATTATTTTCTTTTGACATTTCATTTTATTAGATTTTAAATATTTATATCACTTAGATTTTGGATTGGATGATGAAGATAAAATTAACACCCAAACAGAGTCCATTTGGAAAACAGATTGCGCCAATGTGTTCAAGACAACAGAAACTAATGACCCCTAATGTGTATTGCATGACTAATTCGAGCGCATCTAACGAGAACGATGATCGATTAACACAACACCAAGCGAAGCAAGTTTGACATCCTCCTACGTTAGAATGCCTCCTAGGAGAACCAACCTCATCAAAACCAAGGGTAGTTATGGTAGAATTGCACGTGAAATCTAACAACTGAAAACTAGATTAGAGGCCTAAGAACATCATGATAAAGAAACTCATTCATTTCATTCGAATAACCACCACAACAAACGCAAAATAAAAAATCCTTTCTATTAAGTGTGTTAAGAATCGTCCGATGAAGATGAACCTTACCATAGAAGAGAAACCATAAGAAGATAGCAAGATTTTAATGTTAAGATAGGCTTTCAATATTTTGAGGGAGGATTAAATATTGATGATTTTATAGAATGGTTGCATAAGAAAGAACGTATTTTTTAGCATAGAGAAATATCGTTAGATCTTAACATAAAATTAGTAGCCATTAAACTCAAGAAAAACGCCTCCATCTGGTGTAGAAACCTAAAAAAACGTGAATTAAGGAGGGAAAAATTAAAATCATTATATCAGAAAAAAAAAAAAGAAATATATATCATCGCAATTTATTCAAAACGCTTTTATAAAGTTGCATGGGTTTCAATAACGAATTTTATTAGTAGAGGAGTACATTTCGGAATTTGAATAATTAATATTAAAATGTGACATTATCAAACCTTAAAAACATTCAATTGCCCAACTTATAGGGGGTTTATCTCCTACCATTGCCAATATCTTGCAATTACAATGATATTGGACATTATCCAATGTCACCAAGCTAGCCATAAAAATTGAAATAGACTCCAACAACAACAACAACAAGCATTTATCCCACTGTGGGGTCGGCCACATGAATTCTTTTTCTCCATTATGTTGTGTTAAGGGTAAAATTATCATCTAAATCTAATAAAGAAAAGTCATTTATAATATTTTCTGACCAAGTCTTTTTAAGTGTACCTTTACGTTTCACTACCATCTTAAAGAATTTTCCCTTAAGTTTGAGAGGGACTTTTCTGTCACATAACAAGCCCGATGCATTTCTCCAGTTCAGCCATCCAACTTGAATTCTACTAATAATATCCCCATCTATGTCACAATTACTATGAACAATATACCCAAGATATCTAAAACGTGTGCACTTATTAATTACTTGATTGCCTAAAGTCACAATCCCTCCACTAGATCTATTACTATTAAAATTACACTCCATATATTCAGTTTTAGATCTACTCAAACAAAAGCCTTTAGACTCTAAGGTTTACCTACATAATTCAAGTTTACCTTCAACTCCCTCTCTAGTCTTATTAACAAGAAGAATATCATCAGCAAAAAGCATACACTAGGGTACAACCTCTTGCAAATGTCTAGTAAGAACATCCATGACTAAAGCAAAAAGATATGGGCTTAAGGGTAATTCTTGATGCAATCCAACTGAAATAGTAAAATACTTGGTCAAACCATCTTGTGTTTGAACACAAGTAGTAGCTCTTGCATGCATATCCTTAATGACTTGAATATAAGCATTATTAACACCTTTCTTATCTAGAAATCTCCATAGCACTTCTCTTGAAACTTTATCATATGCTTTCTCTAAATCAATAAAAATCATATGTAGATCCTCCTTATTCTCAGTATACTTCTCCATCAAACCTCTCAATAAATGTATAGCTTCCATAGTAAACCTACCTGCATGAATCCAAATTGATTTTGAGAAACATTAGTGTCACGCCGCAATCTATGCTCCATAACTCTCTCCCATAGTTTTAAAGCATGACACATTAACTTAATTCCTTTATAATTTGCACAATCTTGTGCATCATCTTTATTCTTAAAAATAGGAATCAGCACATTCATTCTCCACTAACCTGACATCATTTTAGTCTTAAAAATAATATTAAAACATTTAGTAAACCAAAAAATTCCTTCATCTCCTTAGCATTTCCACGCCACTATTGGAATATCATCAGGTCCAACAGCTTTTCCACATTTCATTTTCTTTAAAGCCTCTTAAACTTCGATTTTACTAATATGCCAATAAAAAAAATTATTTTCATTTAGGGTGCTAAGATCACTAAAGTCAATTGAAAAATAACTCCATACCAAACAATTTACTTGAAGCCTAGGACAAGGTTTTTGTAGAGCTAGCAAGGAACCTCTTGATGAAACACAGCGATTCCATCCTAAAAATACTATCCCAAATAAAATACAAGCATCCGAAATTAATAGGGCTAGTACCTCGACTACCAAGAATCCATTAATCAAATGCTTTAGGTGTTTAGGTTTTGGACACATCGCATCTAATTGTCCAAATTGCCATGTTGTATTTTAGTGGAAGAAGCCCGACATGAGAAAGAAAATGAAATTAAAAATAATTTGGAAGATTAGAAACAATTAATTTATGATGAGATGGAGAACTCTTAATAGTATGTAGAGTTTTAAATACCATTGTTAAGCCTGAGGTTGATGGATTGGGACATAATACTTTCTACACTAGATGCACAGTGGAAAGTAAAGTGTGCAATATGACTATTGATGGAGGTAGTTGTAAGAAAGTTGTGTACAGTCAAATGGTGAAAAAATTAAATTTACCTACGCATGAGCACCCAACACCCTAAAAGTTATCCTAGCCTAGAAAGGGCAATGAAATTAAAGTGACAGAGAAACATTTAGTCCAATTTTCCATAGGAAAGAAACTACATGATGGAGTATTATGTCACGCGATCCCTATTGATGTCTATCATCTTTTATTAGGACAATCCTGACAATATGATAGATGTACTATTCATGTTGATATTAAAACACTTATATACAATTGATAATGAAGGAAAAAAGGATAGTTCTTATGCCAATGAAAGATGATCCGAACCAAAAAACGAACACTGACCTCGTAACCTCTAAATCTATGTTCCTAAAAGCCATGAGAGAAACTCCCTCGACTTATGCTTTCATACTAATGGAAGAAAACTAAGAAGAAAAGGTTATCCCAAAATTAGTTCAGACTTTATTACAATGCAAATTGAAACATAAATCAAGTGTCCAAAATAGAATTGTTGATATCTTTAGTCGAATATATCCTCTCTTTAGTACTCTTCAGTCAAAAACAGTTGATCTTAAGATGATCAAAAGAACCTAATACCAACAAAGAAGAATTTTGCATGATGTAGTTATCCTATCAAAACACTCAACATTGCAATATTTTAACCCTACTATGAATAAGAATATGTTTTAATGCAATTTGCTGCATTTCTTTCAAAAAAAATAATAATAATAAGAATATGTTCAAGACATTGAGGATGAGTCTCCTTCAGCCTGGGGAGAATGATAAATAAAGATAGGCGGGTAATTTCTATTAAAAAAAAGTCTCTTTTGTCTTATTTCTTTTATTTGGGCTTTATTATTGTTTGTTCCTCTTTTTGTCTTTTAATTTTATTTTCTTTTGTTTTATTTATTAATTAATTAAGGGTGGAGTGGTAAATTATGTCTCTTTTAAGACTTGGGGTCTATAAGTACCTATAATTTCATTTGGAAAGAGTATGTTGTTCATTTGGATTTCTCTTAAACTTAAGAGGGAGAGTTTGTAGTGGAGTCTTGGACTTCACCAACATCATTCTCCCACCACATTTGCTCTCATTTACCATTCTTTTCATCATTCCAAAAGCAACCTCTCCATTTCTGCTCTTGGAGCCACCAAACCAGCCACGGTCTGGGTTGTTTCCAGCCGGCTGAACCATCAAGAACAGACTCTTCCCAGCTGCTCTCAAACAGGGCTTTCCAGCTATCCGACCCAGAAAAAAAAGCCCCCGTCAGTGGAAATTTTCAGGTCAGACGGCAACTATAGCATGAAGAAATGTGTATTTGCAATGTCTTCAGCAGAAAAGTGGTTGTTTTTAAAATTCTATGTTCATGTTACCTATCTACTGTGATTCTTTCAAATTTTTCCTCCAGGTTCAGACTTCTGGAAAGCAAGAAAGAAAGTTTGGTTACCTCAATGCCCTTTCAAGTGCTGACAACATTCTTGTAGCTTGCAAAAGCAGTCATTAGCTGGGAATAACTATCCTATCTATTCTGGGAAAAAGGCAACACTACCGGCCAATGTTTAAAATTGCGCAATTGGGTATTGAGGTGTTTTTTGTTCATAAGGCGAGGTGTAAGCCTCAAGGCGTTTTGAGGCGTAAGCCTCAAAATCAAAA